AACCAGCCTCCTAGACTAGGCGACATTTTTACTGGTGGGCCACCGCACATCTACGTGCGACACCCCCTAGTGTTGCCTGGCTCGCTTGGCCAGGGCCACTACTGTGCTACGAGACGCGGCCTTAGACACATGTGTTTTCGCCGACAAGCTGAGCCGGGGTACGTCCCCACCTCAGTGACACAGACTGGATACCCTCCACCCTCTTTGTTCAGGGAATGGTGGGTACAGTCTCGGAGCTTCGGAGTGCAATGAATCAGAGGGTTCAGATTGAATCCGCTAGTCAGTTGGTCCTGCCATGGGCAAGCGGAGGGCACCCCAAGCACAGAAAACACAACGCCCTAGGGCGTTGCCCGCTAGCCAGAGTCAGCCAGGAGGCAAGCATGTTTGACGCTCACCTCTGCAACCGGGGGAGACAGGCATGTGTTCGGTGAGTGGCCAGGTCACAACTTAGTGACTACTTCAGGCCTTGGGGAACTCGCCTCATGGGGGAAGGGAGCACCCTCCCCCCTTGCAACTGCCGAACACATGGCCACACATCCCTGTCGTACACAGATTGCGCCGGTGTAGTCCGGTTTGGAGACGGCGGGTGACCGACCCCTGGACCTTCCCAGGTGGTGACATCCATTTACGGCATACCGCTGAAATCTCCACTTCCCCCCGTCAGTGTCTCCTCTGTTGGGCACTGCCAGGGGACTCCCGCAAGGCGGAAGCAATCAGACAGGAAGTAGCAGTTTGCTGGGGAAAGACGCCATACACAGGGTACATCAGCCAGAACTAAGTCAAGGCTTCTACCCAAATGTGTTCTAGTACCAAATCTACAAGTGGCAGGCGTCCAGTTTTGGACCTAGACAGACTGAATCAGTACGTGCCCCTCGATCGGTTCCACATGGAGACACCATTCAGGGTTCTTCTCTCCATCCACCGTTTTGACTGGCTGGGCCAAGTATTCGAACTTCGGTGCCCCCCCCCCTCCGTTCGGGTTAGGCACAGCGCCCTACGTGTTCACCAGAGGGATGAAACAGGTAGTGCTGCTGCTTCACCAGATGGCGGTACGCATCAGGCTAACACAGGATTTACTTCACCAGCTGGGCTCGTTAGTAAATCGACAAGTCCCACCTCGAGCCAACGCGCAGTTGGTGTCCCTGGGCATGGAGTTTTGACACAGAGGTAAGCTTGGCTTAGCTATTTCAAGCATATTGCTTAGCGCTAAGCAGCCTAGCCGAATGCCTAGTCAGCGTTCCCTCGGTGTCCCTCCGTGAACTAATGCGGATCATCGGAATGATGACCTCGGTTCGAAGGGTCGTTCCCCAGGCCGCACTACGCAGCTGCCCGGTATAACACTTGTTATAACGCCGAGCTCTTCTATGGGAACTAGATGGGCGGGTTTCGATCTCGCAGGTATGACTCTGGTAACAAATGCCTCCCCCCAGGGTTGGGGAGCGCATCTATTGGACGAACAAGCCCAAGGATATGGCTCCCGCATAGTTTTGGGACCACCATATCAACCGGCTCGAACTGTGAGCAGTGTACAATTAGCACTACCACGCTTTCTACCCGTAGTTCGAGACCACAGAGTCCTGATCCGCACAGACAACGCAGCGGTGGTCTCCTTCAAGAAGGAGGGGGAGACT